CACCCTGTCAGAGAGCAGACAGGCATCCTTGCTTCGGGCAGTTTGCAGATGCGACAGGGGGCAACAGTTGACAGCTTTATCGTTATGCAGACCCTGGGTCTCATGGCAGCGGCTGACGTTGTGGTCCCGCTGGGATTACTGCATATGCGCCGCCTGCAGAGGTGGGTTTTCCAGCCTGCGTTTAGATCTCAAGACACACAAATGGCAGCTGGTGACCATCCCCCCCCTCCGGATCACCTCCAGAGGGGGGGTCCCCCGCTGGGACAGGTGATCTCCCACATCTCAGTGTTCACGGATGCATCCGGAAACAGGATGGGGAACCCTCCCTAGGGAGAGCTATAGGAGGGCGCTGCGTCTCTAACAGAGACGCAGCACAGCAAACCTCCTAGAGCTACGGGCAGTTAGTATTAGTCCTCCAACATTTTCAAACCCTTATTCCAGGGGAAACATGTAATGGTCAGGAGCGACAACAGCACCACAGTGGCATATATCAACAGACAGGGCGGAGTTCCCGCTCCGCCGCTCTGTTGACCATAGCGGAGGGAAGGAATCTCGTGGTTATGGGCTGCAGAGGTGATATTATCCCTGAGAGCCCTCCACATTTCCGGTCTGGAGAACAGGGGGGCCGACCTCATGTCGAGGGACGGACCCCTGCCAGACGACGTGGGCGCTTCACCCAGAGGTGGTGAAGGGATCTGGGCCCGGTTCGTGACAGCAGAGGTGGACCCATGCATACCGGAAGTAGGTGCGCGGCACTGCTGCGACTCGGGCTCCTGTCGGTGCTGCTGCAGTTTTTGTGTATTTATGTATGGTTAAACGTTCCGTCCTTGATTTAAACCACACACTTTTAATCAAGAGACTGTGTGTGTGTGTATGTTGGTACAAGGACGACCCTTGCGAAACTTCTACTGGCACTCTTTATCCTTGAACTTTTTTAACCATGCCCAAACATTACTGGGAGGAAACAACTTTGGTCCCTGTAATACACCAGAGACGCACTGCTGGCCCTCCGTGCTGTGGGAAGCTTCCCACCCCCCCAACCTGCCGGAGGAACATTACGATCTACGGCTCCGAGGAGGAGACGTCTCCGTTAGAAGGGGAAGGAGGGGAGGAGTACCGCAGCGCCTCAGACGGGAGAGGCAACAGGCCGCCTTTACCCTCCATGATACTCAGTAATGTTGAGGGTCGCTACGGAGGAAAATGGAAGAGCTGCGGATCAACGCTTCAGCCTGTTTCGAGTACCGGAGTCGTCTATTATGGTGCTTTGTGAGACATGGCTTCATCAGTGATATTCCCGACTGTGTGAACTGGAGGGTTTTTCACTCATCCGCTCGGACAGGAGTGAAACGTCGGGGAAAGGCAAAGGTGGGGGCATCTGTGTATTTATCAATGACAAGTGGTGCAGACAACACACTTTGCGTAAGACTATCTGCAGCTCCGACGTTGAACTTATGTGCTTGAGCCTAAGACCCCTGTACCTGCCTAGAGAGTTTGGGAATATCATTCTCTGCACTGTTTATATTCCACCCAGCGGGAACGCAGCAAGTGCAGCAGCTCAAATCACTGACTGTGTTCACCAGCAGCTACTACACACTCCTGACGCTCCGGTTTTTATTCTAGGGGACTTTAATTATTGCAAACTTGAACTGTCGCTACCCGGTTTTCAACAATACGTTACATGTGAGACCCGGGAAGATAAAATTCTAGACAAATGTTACGGAAATGTGAACAACGCATATGTGAGTAGAGCCAAACCCCCGCTTTTGAACTCGGACCATAACACTGTTCATCTAATACTTACCTATAAAACGGTTCTCAAGCATAGTAAACCACAGACCAAGACTGTAAAGGTTTGGACTAGTGACAGCATAGAGTCTCTTAAGGCGAGACACCCCAGGTGAATAGGGTACATTTTTTTAACTTAAAGGTATCAGCTAGAAATGTCTCCAGTTAATTACTTACAATAAGGCAATTGTCTTTGTTTGGCGACTGTGGCTGCGAGGGAGTGCGGTCGTCTTTCAACCAGAAGGTTGTGGGTTCGATCCCAGCCTGTGCAGCCAACATGTCGATGTATCCTTGGGCAAGATACTTAACCCTGAGTTGCTCCCGATGGCATGGCCAACGGTGTGTGAATGTTAGGTCCTAGAGCAAGTGGTACTGCTCTGTATGAATGGGTGTGAATGGGTGAATGACATGTAGTATGTAAAGCGCTTTGAGGGGTCGTAAAGACTGGATAAAGCGCTATATAAGTACAGTCCATTTACCATTTACCATTTACAAGTTTTCTGAAATAGCATGTTTAAATATGCAAATTAGCCATTATCTCATTAAATATGCACATATTTTAACACATTTCAGGAATCAAAATCTGAACTTTGAATAAAGCCAGGGTCAAAATTCTTGTTTCATTTTGTAGTCATATTAGTATCTAAGGCTTTTACAGAAGGGATATTGGATATCTCTTTTTATCACTCCATAAATCAGAAAATACTGTCAACAGCCCTAAAATATCAATTTTCGCCATGTTTTTAGGTATACAATGTTGTATAATTCAGGCTATGAATGATATATGAACAAACCCTTCTGTAAAAGCCTTCATAATATTGATAGGAATTAGGGCTGCACGGTATTGAAAAAAACTGACATCGCGATATTTCCCCCCCCTGCGGTATATATTGCGGTTTTTTTAACCTGTTAAACCCCAAAGTCCCGGCGGGTACTTTACTTTTTTTTTCACGACAGTGTCTCAGGGGATCGTAATATTTAAGAACCTATTAATGTGTTATACCAGATTAACGGAAATAATCTCAGCTAACTGACGATACAAACCATTTTTACCAAAACAAAACACAAGTTTCATAAGAAGCATCTAAATGACCCCTGAGCGAAAAATGCTAACGCACTTTGGCACAGAACTCAAGATAAAAGTACCCTTATTATTACTTATCGTAGCTGCACTTACAAGATATCCGATTAAAGCTGAGGTTGCACAGATTATTTAGGTATATAGTATCATCACTGAGTGATCTGAACTCGGACAGGGGAAGCAAACACAGACATCACAACACGTACCTTTACGTAGCTTCTAGGGGAGATGTCTCACCGTAGCTGTCAATATGATCAAAAGACGTGTTCAATGGCATTAAAACGAGAAAGAAAAAACGCGGCTGAATTGGTTAATCCATAGGTTTTTTCCATAGGCCAAAATAGTTCCAGATGGCAGATGTTGCTTTTCTTCTTGGAAGTAAATCTTCATTCTCTCCGGTATTGTCCTCCTGTGCCTCGCTCATTTTTTACCAGTGTTTTTGATGGTCTGCAAACTAGCGGGGCGGGGCCTGCTGTGATCTGATCAAGAATGATTGTGATTGGTGGTTTGCTGTGCATGCAGGGGAAGTTCTACACACACCAACAAATAAGGAGTGAGAGTGACGCGTAGCCAAAACCGGAAGCTGCATACACTCTGGTAGCTACCATTAGCAGCTAACTTTTGTGCTCCGATTTTTACATAAAAATTGAATTATGGATTATAAACAATTGCTTCAAAGCCACAGATACATTATCAACCTATGGATCAACCGATTCAGCCGCGTTTTTTTCTCTCGTTTTAATGCCATTGAACACGTCTTTTGATCAGATTGACAGCTACGGTGAGACGATCTCCCGTAAAAGCTCCGTAAAAGGTACGTGTTGTGATGTCTGTGTTTGCTTCCCCTGTTGCGAGATCGGATCGCTTAGATGCTATACTTAAATAATCTGTGGAGTCTCAGCTTTAATCGGATATATTGTATGTGCAGTTTCGATAAGTAATAAGGGTATCTTTATTTTTCAATTATGTGCTAAAGTGCATTAGCATTTTAAAAAAATGAATAAAACCGCACGTCCCTGCGGTGTTGTGAATACCGCGCATGCGCATACCGCGGTTATCGCCATGACACGGTATATCGTTCAGCCCTAATAGGAATATAACTGGAAGGTTTGGTGTATCTACGTGCTACTGAAGTTGAAATTTCGAACTCAGAGTAGGAGAAAAAACTAATTTTGAGAAAACGACCTTTAAAGATTGCAGTGAGGCGCTAGCTAAACCCTCCTGTTCTTTGGATGACAGCTTGCGCATCGACGCACTCCTTGAAGGTATTTCATGTTCGGGGTCATTTGTTTTTTTGTATAACCTTGCTTCGTGCAAGTGACAATTGTTGTTGTCTTCTCTGTGAACGTTTTTTTCGCCGTTCTTTTGCCATTTTGAGATTTCAATTTCTAGCGTAAAGCTAACCAGGAAGTCACACCACGTGACGCATCTGAACGAATCACGTTGTCAGAAATTGACACCAGCCAATGAGATTTCGTTTCTTGGTTTAAGACCCCTTTGTCTCTGGTTGCTGATACAAAGGAAATGACCATATTTGGATCCGATGAGATTGTGCAGGAGAGACACAGCTTTCCAACGATATCTCTGTTGACATGCTCCACACAGCGGTCGCGGTACTTTATGTTACATTAGAATGCTAACTTTTGGTGAATTTAGGAGAAATCTACAGACGCAAATAGACAAACTATAGTAAAATAAACACTTAAATGTGTATTTTGTACGTTTTCCTTCCAAAAGCCTGAAAGAAAACATGTTATAGAATCAAAATAGCACAAAATCTCAAAATTGACCAGTACTTGAAAAACGATGTTTTTGCCTGCCGTGTCTCGCTTTAAAGGATGTTTTCTCTCTACTGAGTGGAGTATCTTTCATGAGATGGACGTGGATAATGCTATCGTGGAGAGCATCATGAGGTATGGTATTACTGCCTGGTATGGTAACTTGACAGTGCAGTCAAAGTCACAGATCGCTCGCCTGGTACAGACTGCTATGAAAATTATGGGGGTTAAAAAACACCCATCTCTCCAAAACATATACGAGCAATGCATTATCAGACAGGCAAACAAAATTGTGTCTGATCCCACCCACATACTCCACCCAGAATTCCAGCTCCTACCTTCTGGTAGAAGATTCAGGGTTCCCAAGAGCAGGCTGAACCGCTATAAGCACTCATTCCTACCTATGTCGATTAAGCTTCTTAACATTCACATGAAATGAAGTCAAATGTAATGAAATGTACTTTTTAAATATTGGCCATGAGGGGTAGTGCAATAGGTCGCCATTGTCAGTATGTGCGTCTGTGTATTGTGTTTGTTCAAACGGTGAATGACTGATGATATGTGTATGTCTCTTAATGTCCACTATGTTTGTATATGTACATGCATGCTGAACTGCAGGACGGAGTCCAGAACAAATTTCCTTACGGGGACAATAAAGTATATCGTATCTGTTCGCCAGCCGGCGCAATACTCACTGCGCACTGTGGTTCTCCATGGCTCTGAGCGACGACCCTCCTTTGGGTCGTGACGCGTTTGCACACGAGCCATGGCCGAAAAAGCTTCACGCGTTACATCTCATTCTCCCTCTCCTGGGGAGAGTGAGGCGGGAACGTCTGTCAATCATCCTAGGAGCGCCGGATCGCGTAGGGGCGCCATGGTACTCAGAGATGACACAGATGAAGGTGGGCCAGCCCTGGGCGCTCCCCCGAGTTTGGGGGGTAATCTCCTAGGAGGCAGGTGCAATCGGGGTGTTTCCCACCCCCTCCAGGCTTGTCTCCTGAGGGGGAGAGGCTGAGGCAGGAGGGATTGTCTGATAGGCAAAGCAAGTTTATTTATATAGCACCTTTTCAACACATAGTGTTAGTCTGATTCAGTCAGCTAGAGCAGGATCCACCACAGCCTGTTACAGGCCAAAGTGGCTGGGATTCCGGCGATGGTGTGAGGAGCGAAAAATAGAGCCCCTATCTTGTAAATTGGGATCTATTTTGTCGTACTTACAGTTGTTGGTGGACAGAGGGCTTGCTCATTCCATAGTGAAGGTGTATGTAGCAGCCATCTCGTCCTGCCATGAGGGATTTGGCGGCAGGTCAGTTTTTGCGTTTTTTGCGGGGGGTCAGCAGGCTGCGCCCAATGGTGCGCACCTCTGCCCCGCAGTGGGACCTGCCGCTGGTGCTCGAGGCGCTGGTCACAGGACCATTTCAGCCTCTGGAGCTCTCTTTCCTGAAAGCACTGTCATGGAAAACCGCATTGCTACTTGCCTTAACGTCAGCCAAAAGAGTGTCTGAGTTAACCGCTTTGTCAGTGCACCCGAGTTGTTTGAACATCCGGGGTGACCAGAGCGGGGCGACACTCAGACCGAACCCATCCTTTGTGCCCAAGAGCCTAAGGAGTACATTCAGGTCGAGGGCTATCCAGTTGGGGGGTTTTAATCTTCCCCCCCATAGTGGGGCGAGGGAGGCTAAATTGCACCTCCTCTGCCCGGTGCGTGCGCTGGCATGTTATGTAGAGCGCACGGCTGTCCTTAGACACACAGAACAGCGGTGTGTTTCGGCGGTGGGGTAACTGGAAACGCCTGGCAGGCTGGCTTTGCGAATGCATTGCAGCGGAGCCCTCTACTCATGGAGCACTGCTGACCTATGCTACTCAGTTGAAGAGAAAGTAAAGGGTTAGCAGTGAGGGGGCGAGGCCGCCTCTTATGCGATGGATGCGCGCGCATTCAGGTAGGCCCGCCCAGGGGCCGGCTACGTCTAGGGAAGTCTTTGGATATTGTTACTATGCAAGGAACAGTACTTGAAGTGGTTGCCTGTTATAAATACCTTGGTATCTGGCTTGATGATTGTCTCTCTTTTAAACCTCAGGTCAATAATCTGCTTGGAAAGCTTTTTTTTTACTTTTTGTTTTATTACTTTTATTGTCATTACACTGTAGGCCTACTTACTATGTAACAAAATGGTTTCTCTGCATTTGACCCATCCTAGTGTTAGGAGCAGTGGGCTGCCATTATGAACGGCGCCTCGGGAGCAGTGTGTAGTGAACGGTGCCTTGCTCAGGGACACCTCGGTAGCACTTGGTCTTGCCGGGACTTGAACTGGTGACCTTCCAGTTGCCAAGCCAAGTCCAGATTCTCGCACCACCGGACACCACCGGACACCACCGGACACCACCGGACACCACCGGACACCACCGGACACCACCGGACACCACCGGACACCACCGGACACCACCGGACACCACCGGACACCACCGGACACCACCGGACACCACCGGACACCACCGGACACCACCGGACACCACCGGACACCACCGGACACCACCGGACACCACCGGACACCACCGGACACCACCGGACACCACCGGACACCACCGGACACCGGAACCCCGGACACCACCGGACAGGCTTCAGAAGAGGCCGGCTAGCTGAACAGCTAGCTCTGCCGGCAGGTTTCTGTGGTCTCGCGCTGACGGCTGCTGGCCTAGCGGCAGAAATCCATAAACCACCAGCTAGCTTTGACTGCTCCACTGTCAACAACGGCACCGAGGTAAAGCCTAGAAATCCTGTATTTAAAAAACACTGTTGCACAAAAATGTTTCAAACAGTGAATCAAGCAAAAACAGTGTGGGATCCTCGGTGCAAGCCGAAGGGACTATTCAGTGGACATTTACATTTCCGCAGCATCTGTAATAAACATGAACAGCTAGAACATCTCCTCCTTGAGTCTAATATTGACTGTTTGGGAATATCTTAATCTTGGCTAAAACAGTCGTCACCATTGACTCTTGTATCTATGCCAGGATATAATGTGTTTAGGAAGGACAGACTGAAGGGAAAAGGAGGGGGTGTGTTGCTTTATGTGAGGAATACCTTTACTTGTAGCGAGATTGCACTCCCAGCTAATATTGAGTTTGATTGTGTTGGGGTGGAAATCACACTATCTGAGGAAATGTCCCTCACCATGATTCGCCTGTATCGACAACCCACCGCTAAGGTGGATTTCTACGACCAGGTAAAACTCCTGCTGAATTCCTGTGACTCCAACAAAGAGCTAATTATTGTAGGAGAATTTAATATCAACTGGAATGACGAACAAACGCTTCATCCACAAAAACCTGCAACAACATTTTATGGAGGCAGTGAAAATTATCACTGCCTGTCCTCTGAAGACATTGGTGAAAACAGTCATCTGTTTATATCTAAAATTAATGATACAATGTCTTCCTTCTCAAGGAGAGGGTCAGTTAGGGACAGGAAGGAACATCATCTTCCCTGGCTGAATCTACAGTACAGTGCAGGAATTTAATGAAATCCAGAGACCAACTATTAAAGCAAAGCTTGAAATCCGGACTATCTACTGACAGACAGAAATTCACTCATGCTCGTAACAAGGTAACTCAAACAATAAGACAGGCCAAAGCAAACTTTTTCATCAATATAATTGAAGGTGCGAAAGGTAACAGTAAAAACTTTTGGCAAATCCTAAATAAACTATTAGGTAAACAAAAGAAACAGGAAAATAATGCTCTAGAATTAAAAATCAATGATGCCCTGATAAAAAGACCCTGCAGTGTTAGCCAGCTCTCTCAATTAGTATTTTATAAATAGTGCTCTGGACATCACAAAGCTCTTCCCACCATCTGAGGTCTCCCATAGCCCGACTGTGGATACACATCCAGTTTTTGACCTGGAGGAAATCACAGAGGTGGAGGTAAAAAATATAATCTTAGGGTTAAAAGGTTCTAAGGCTAGGGATGCAGATGATTTAGAAACCAACTTTATAAAGACACATATTGACGGTCTAATAAAACCAATTAGTATGCTAGTAAATCAATCTATTAGCACGAGGGAAGTTCCATCATCCTGGAAGGTGGCTACGGTGACACAGATCTTTAAATCTGGGGATAAGGCAATGATGTCCAACTACAGACCAATCAGCATCCTCCCCTGTGTCTCTAATGGCGCATTTCCACTGCAGCGGGTAGCCCCGTTTAAGCGTCCTTAATCGTTCAGGCCAGTTTTTGGTGGCCTTTCCATATAGCGTAACACCGGCTAGCGGGTACTTTTTCCGGCCCCATAAAATCGTGGTTCTATCAGGCCAGGGCCAGGGCTGAACTAGTGACGTCAACACTCTCGACTGCTGATTGGTCAGAGAGAATCGTCACAAGATTGCGCGCGAGATCATCCCTAGCGTCGCATATATATCTAGAAGCAAGCTTGCAGCATTTTTATACACAGCATTTTTGTAAACGGAGGAGCTACAAAAATGGTAACGTCAAAGAAAAGCACACCGTGGTCGACCGAGGACGTGACGACGTTCCTACATCTCATTGGGGATGATAAAATCCAGCGGGAGCTCGACGGAACAACTCGAAATGTGAAAAAAAAGCCGATCGCACCGCCGACACTGCGTTGCTACCCCAGGTCCTAAACTGTAATGGAAATGTGCCACGGCCTCGGACGGCCAGCGAGTCAGCCCGAGGCCTGAGCGAGGACGCTTAGGGACGCTTAAACGGAAATGTGCCGTGGAAATCTGCAGTGGAAATGTGCCATAAGGTAGCTGAGAAATGGGTGTCAAAACTAATCACCAAACATTTAGATAAAGGTTTCGCTCCACTCCACCCAATGCAGTTTGGTTTTCGTGCTCACCACTCCACTGAGACAGCTAACTGTGTCTTAGTGGAAAAGATTAAATCTATGTTGGACACGAGCCCATATGTAGGTGCTGTCTTCCTTGAACTCAGGAAGGCTTTTGACACTGTTGACCACCAAGTGCTCCTTACAAAGCTGACTCATTTCAATTTTTCGGCAGATTCAATACAGTGGGTTAAGTCTTACTTATCAAACAGAAAACAGTATGTTTTGGTCAACGGTACCAAATCCCCCGACTAGGGGTGCACCGAATGGGAAATTCTTGGCCGAAACCGATACCGAAAATAGGAAACAGTTGGCCGAAAACCGAATGCCGAAAGGCCGAAAATGATTAATAGAAATATATATATATAATGTATACATTTTTTACCAATGTTGTTCAGCTACCTGATTATGGAAATAAACATGATTATGGCAAAACTTAACTTAAATAATAATCACTATTATGGGTCCATAAAACATTTATTCAGCACTTTTGAATGCATACAGTACATTTATATATGTCATGTATTATTGCTAAAAAACATTATATCGCAGTCTTAGTGTCGCCAACTCGTTTCTAATATGCAAAGACAACAAATGCGTCTATGATGTATTTTCGATCAGACGAGATCTCTCTCCCCCGTCTGTGTGCGAGGGGGCGGGGCAGTTTACACACACGCAGCTGCTACATGCAGCGGAGCACACTGCGGAGATGGCGGAGAGAACGCGCTCCGAGGTGTGGTTAAACTTTACCCGTCTCGATGTGGAGAATACTTGTTACCATAAGTGCAATAAGAGTTTAGCATGTAAGCACGAGCAATTTGTCTAAACATTTAGCAAAAGTGCACCGCATGCAGACGGAGGAATGTACCGGGTTCGACCGTCTTTCTAGCAGCCCTGTAGCCCCATCCACGAGTAACGTTTCCACGTCAGGTGTTATGTATGCTAGCAGCAACACACGGAGTTAACTACATTATACAAACATGGGTTAATGATTAGAGGAAACTGAGTTATTTAGTTTGTTAAAATGTCAGCTATTCTGTTTACAGTCTGTCATCAGATTATTTAATACGATTTGTTAAAGGCTCAGGGCAATCTCGATGACAAAGGTCAATGTTCCCCCCCCTGTGAGCCAGCCGCGAGCATGGTCGCCGCGTCTTTATTACGTCATCACAACAACACGTTAGATTACCAACGCAAGCCTGTTCTGACATTCGGTGATATTTTTTCGGTGCTAAAACCCTTTCGGCCGAAAGCCGAAAGGGCCTTTTTAACCATTTTCGGCCAATAATTTTCGGTGGCCGAATATTCGGTGCATCCCTACCCCCGACCTTGTGAACCCTGTTGGGATTCCACAAGGTTCCATTCTTGGACCATTACTGTTTTCTCTGTACATTAATGACTTGCCTAATGTATGTCCTGATTTGAATGTACACATTTATGCCGATGATGCGGTCATCTTTGTACACAGGAAAAATACTGAAACAATCACATCCCGTCTCTCAAATGCTTTGGACAAGGTTCAACACTGGCTGAACAACATTTGCTTACAGTGGAATGTAAAAAAAAACAGTATGCTATGTACGATGTTCAGTAAACGACCAGTCAAAATCAAAGGATCCAATGTGTTTTTAAATGGAGCAGAAATAGAACTAGTCTCCCAGTTCAAGTATCTTGGAGTCATTGTGAGACTGACCGTTGAGCGGCCCAGACCAAGCAAGGAGGCAGAGGCAGAACGTCCAAAAATATAACCCGACGTGGGCATTTATTAAAATCATGTGCACAAAGTTCACAGCCTCAATCCTGCTGTTCTCCTTGCACACATCCTGCAGCCACAAGGATCTCACACCCCCCCAGTTACAAGGAAACAGCACCTAAATACACACATACTAACAAGACACAGGTGAGGGGGGAGGAGACAACACAGGACACCAGGTGCACACAATGATCAGCCACAGACATCAACATATTATTTGCACCCTGATTACTCTCAACCGCTGTCATCCTTACACCAGCATAACTACTCTCGGTGCTCTCGCAAACTCCCCTATCTTTTCAGGCGGAGCCGAGGACCCGACCAGCACCTGCCAGACGACATTCCAATAAATACGGTTTAATCAGTTAAAAAATACTACATCAATAATTAGTATAAATTATGTGCAAATATGTAATGTCAACTGTACTGTGCAATCACGCTAATAAAGTGCAATATTACCCGGCCTGAAGCCGTCAGTCCATAGTGACAAAGTTACCTTCGTCACATTTCCTTCCCCCTCTCCCCAGGAAGCACAGTGTCTTTACAGTCTCGGCTTCGGGACAACCAGTCAGCCACCCGGTTTCAACGCCGCCTCCTCCGCCACCTCCAGCGGGGCCAGTGAAGCCGTTGTCAACCATGTCGTGATGCCACTTATCCGGAAGCTGTTTTGTCCTGTTGTAATGCGTTGGTCTGCCTCTAGCACGACCCAGGTTCTGTCGACTCCTCGTAGGTCCGGGTCCGCCTCCTCGGCCTGCAAACGCTGCTCCTCCTGCTTGTCTCTCGTCTCCTGCTGCTTGTCTCTCGTCTCCTGCTGCCTCAACAGCCGTGGCCCCCTGGTCCGTTCCAGGCATAGCCACCCCCAGCCGCGGTTCCTCTTTTTGGTCCCTCTTCTTTCCTCTCGTAATTTTCACCTCCTTACTTGGTCAAATCCCACTTCTGACACCAATTGTGAGACTGACCGTTGAGCGGCCCAGACCAAGCAAGGAGGCAGAGGCAGAACGTCCAAAAATATAACCCGACGTGGGCATTTATTAA